ATTGTTTTGGTTAGCAACTTGAAGTATTTTGTCTCATTTTCTCACCCTTAGCATTTCTATTGCTACATAGACGCATGCATCGTTGTCGTTGTATTGTACTTTCGTGATTGGTTTTCTTAACATTTCCTTTTTGTTGATTGTTGTCTCTTTTTGCTTGATAGACATGGTGGGTGAGAGAGTTGTTACAATCACTACAACTGAGGGAGCTCTACCCCCTTCTCCCCCGGTATCTTCTGTGTTTTTTAAGTTACCATAATCTTTGGTTTCTTTGAACACCCTCTTAGAATTACCTTGGTTAATCCTCTACTTTCTGAGGCTTCTGCTCTGTGCCCTCTGATGTGTGAAAAGATTGCATGAAATTCTTTCTTTTTTGTACATCTTTTTGGATTAAATTGTACTTTAAAGAAATGTATTTTTATGTTTTTCTTATAGGCATAACAGGTATTAGGAATGGAATTAAGTAAAAGTAACATGGAGCAAAAAGGAGAAGTTATGGAGGAAAAAGCAAATTTTGTGAAGGCAAGGCCATAAAGCCATGATGCTTGGCGTTTAGGCACCTGTCCACTAAAGACAAGGCTATGGAGCCAGATCAGAGCAGTGCCTAGACACCCGACACCAAAGAGCAACCCAAGAGGTTGGCGCTTAGGCTTTAACAATGAGCGTCATGGCCTCAATTCTAAAGTCCAAGGCTATGACACCAGCATACCAGTGCCTAGGTGCCAATGTTGAATTATGCACGATTTTGGGCAGTTTTAACCATCACTTCGAGGCGATTTTTTAGCAAATCAAGGCAGTTGTTGGGAGTTATTAAAGAACCTTTACAAGATAAATGAAGAAGTAGGGGAACAAGAGAAGAGGAGGACCGAACCACCAAAGAGAGAAAGTCTTAAGAGAGATTTTCCTCCATTAAATGTGAGAGTTCTTGGGCTTATTCTATGCAATTCTAGGGTGTGAGTAGTGTGATTTGTATTTGATATTATGTAAATAGTTGCAGAAGAGGAGCAAAAGATTTGAGTAAATCATTCTCAAGAGGATTTAGGGAGAGAGATAAGTTTCTTTGTGCTTTTGGTTTGTAATACTCTTGTATGTTGAATCTCTTTAAGGCATGTTTATTGTGTTTTATCCATGAATTCTGAGTAGACTCCCTTGCTTTTCTTTATGGTGATGTAGTAAAACTTGTACATATGTTGGATTGAATGTGAAATAGCCTTCTATCTATATTTGTGATGTTTCTTTTTTTAACTTAGTTTAGTTTTCAATATGACCAAATTGATTTGTTAGAAGAGCTATGGCATAAATGACTAGGAAATCACATTGAACTATCATGTATGAATCAAAGTAGATTATAGGGAGATGAGTTTATTGGTGGATAACTTAGAGGATTTTAGGGTGACAATCTAGAATAATTACTAAGTTAATCCTAACTTCTTTACAAGCTCAGAAGACGGTAAACAAGATTTATGCTCCTATTTGTCACATACATTACTTTATTTTGCATTTCTTCCACATCTACATTATATTATAATCACCACAAGGAATAACACTCTTAGCACTTGGTAAAAACAAATTTTCATAGCATAGATAAAATTTCTATAGGACTAATTTTAGATTATTACGATAGGATTGATAGCATAACTCAAGTAATTCAAAATTCCAAATGAAGAACAAATTATGTAGACTAAAACATTGTCATATTTTCAGTGTACATTATTCCATGTGGGTTCGACATCCTAGACTCTTTTAGAGTCCTATATTAGTGAAACAATACATATACTTGCATGAGAAACCACGGTATGCAAAAATATTTCAAGAATTTAACTAATTTTCTAGAGAGCCAATCAAGATTTTGGTGTTATTATCAAGACTAACACAATTGTGACACACACACTATCAGTGGATCACCCTCCCTCTACAAAAGGGATTCATGCCCACAGAGTCACTTATTTTTTTGTGGCTCGTGTCGAGCCCACCTCTTCTACAAAGAAGAGGTCGATGCGCGATGGCGATGCACCGTAGCGCCCATCAATCTCTTATAGGTTATCTGACCATTCGTCTGTATTTTCACGAATCCCTCTACCAAAAGTAAGTGAGTTTTCTATCAATAGTTGGGTTGTCACTGTTGTTCTGGTGTTATTTCTATCTTGGCTCTGCATGTAGCACTTCTTTTGTTGTAGAAACTCATATTGGAGCTTCTTTTCCCTCGAGGTGAGTCTTCTATCTGCAGCAGGGTTACAGAAACCTACAATGAGATTAGGCAGGGGGCCTGGAGGACTAGGAATAAATTATTGTGAATTCAGTAGCATGTCCAGCAACAGGTTTATATACATGTTTTGAATCCAGTTCAGGAGGTGTTTTGGCTCCCTGAACTGAGATAGGTTTTGTTACTTTTCCCAGTTGTGCAGACTGTCCTGTTGGAAAAGTTTCCCCTCTTCAAGATGCAAGTCACACTCACCCTACAATCCGTGTCAACACTACTACCATGAGTTCTTTGACCAAGAAGATCATAGGAGCAACTTCCTCTTTAAGAAGATAGGTAACCACTGGTTTGACAGATGTCCTGGCCTAGTGGTTCCAGGTTTCTCTAAGGTCTTTCCTGCATCAACATTGAGTAGGAGTGCTCGGAGGAATAGGAATTGATTGTTGCAATTACAGTGATTGAATCAAACATAGATCTCTTTATCTCTTGTGATTATAGTTGAAAGGAAATTATGTGCTCTCTTAGCTGAGAATCATTATGTTGCGTCGTCAGGTCATGAGGGTCATGCCCTAGCCAGAACTACTAGGAGATCTGCCGCTCATCAAGATGTAGATTGATTTGGATCAACAATCTCTATTGATACTACTATGAGTTCTATGACTAAGATGATCATAGAAGCAATTTACTCTTTAAGAGGAAAGGGTCTTGTAATTTTGTATGTTGCCTTAACTCTCCCCGTTCCTGTCTCCTATAAGGTTGCATCTCCCCTTAGAATAGTTTGGAGGGCCCACAGGGCTAGGAATAGATAGCTGCATTTACGCCAATAAGTTTCTCGACAAGCTTCTTCGCTTCCCATGATTCCAGCTCAGGAGGAATCTCAGGTTCCCCGTGTTGAGAATAGTTTTGTTGAGATGTCCAACCTTGCAGATCATATCCCGGTCAGAATAACTAGGAGGGGGTCTCCTTCTTAAGGACACATATGGCTTTGAATCTGCAATTTGTATTGATGACTCTACAATAGATCTTCTGACCAAGAGGATCGATGAAGCGGTTTCTTCCTTGACAGGATAGGGTCCTGTTTCTAGAGAATATTTTTTTTGCCCAGATCTGTGAAATGTCTAAGTAGGTTCTGCAAGAGCTCCTCTACTTACCCTACCATCATGGTCTTTATGATAGGAAATTAATATATACTTCTCAGTCTACTACGAAGCCTAGCATTCGTTATCTGTTGTGCAAGCTATAAGACCCACCGAGGAGTTGCATGGGACCCTTGGAGTGACACATAGAGCCACTACACCAGGTATGGTCTTAGGTGTCATTAACGATGTTGTTATAGTGGTTTCACCTACACTTGATGTGACCACACTTCTCATGAGTAATAATGAAAGTATTAATGTTTCCTCTTCATCGAGTAAGATGAATTTATTCAATGTTGATAAAGGAAAGTCGGGGGCACATCCCCATCAATTATCTCCTTAT